TTTCATTCGCTTAGCTACGGCGAAGGAAATTTGGAAAACTGCGAAACAAACGTACTCCGTCGACCAAGATGCATCAAGAGCTTATCAATTGCATCGTGAGGTAATCTCTACTCAACAAAATGGTGGATCTGTTATTACATACTTTGGAAAATTGCAGAGGCTATGGCAAGAGTACGATAGTATTAATAATTGTACCATGGAATGCACTAAAGATGTTGAGAAATACAATAAGATGGTTAATTCTCAACGAGTTTATGTTTTATTGGCTGGTTTGGATTCACATTTGGATGGAGTTCGTGGTCGTGTTCTGGCTACCACTCCGCTTCCTAATATTCAATCAGTCTATGCAATTGTATGTGCAGAGGCGAATCGCCAAGAAGCTATGCTAAGCGGTGAGTCTTCGAATGGTTCCGCCTTAGCTGTCAAGAAGTATCCGAAGAAAGAAATCCGCAAGTGTAATCACTGTAATGGAGATAATCATGTCATGGAGACATGTTTTAAGCTCCATGGCTACCCAGAGTGGCATCCAAAGGGAAAAACTACTTCGAATGATAAGACAGAAAACAGCAAGGCTCATCTTTCTACTGCTGCCGGCTTCGTAACCAAGTCAGGTATGTCTAACTCTGCTCCTAATCCTTCTGTTATTATTAGAAATAGCGATTGGATAATCGATACAGGTGCTACTGATCATATGACTTGTGATCAACACATGTTTACTAATTTCTCTCCTAATTGTCATAAAATTGTTATTATTACTGCCAATGGAGTGGAATCTCCCATTGAAGGTGTTGGTACAGTGACTCTATCACCCTTCCTATCAATACCTAATGTCTTATTTGTTCCTACCTTGAATTGCAATCTTATCTCTGTCAGTAAATTAACAAAATCACATTCATGTGTCGCTGTGTTTTATCCAACCCACTGTGTTTTTCAGGATATACATACCAAGGAGAAGATTGGCAGTGGTAGATATAGTGAAGGGCTGTATTATCTTGAAAAAGTTTCACAAATCCATAAAGGAGCATTGGTTCATCTTGCAAGTGATCACATACAAGATCAAAATAAAAAAATATATTTGGCTATGGCATAGACGATTGGGGCATCCCTCTTTTAGTTATCTAAAAAAATTGTTTCCATCGTTATTTCATAAATGCAATATTTCAGATTTTCTTTGTGAAACTTGTGTTATGGAAAAAAGTCATCGTGCTATTTTTCCCTTGAGTAATAAGAAAACAAACTTTCCTTTCTCTTTAGTACACACTGATGTTTGGGGTCCTGCTCCACAATCTACACATAATGGAAAAAAATAGTTTATTAGTTTTGTTGATGATTGTACACGGGTAACCTGGGTATATTTGCTACAACATAAAAGTGATGTGTATGATGTGCTTCGCTCCTTTCATCAAATGATAGTAACACAATTTAACACATGTATTAAGGTAATTAGATCAGACAATGGAGGAGAATATTTTAAGAAAGAATTAAAAGATTTTTTGAACTCTAAGGGCATTTTGCATCAAACAACATGTCCTTATTCCCCCCAACAAAATGGAGTGGCCGAGAGGAAAAATAGACACATATTAGAAGTTACTAGAACACTCCTAATTGATGGTAATGTTCCATCTCATTTGTGGGGCGAGGCTGTGAATTCAGCAGTTTACTTAATTAATCGAACCCCCTCTAGTGTGCATAACTTTAGAAGACCTCTAGATGTTTTATCTGATCATCATGTTCTCCCTTCCATTGTTCATCTACTACCTCATGTTTTTGGATGTGTTATATATGTTCACTTACACCCACATCAACGTACAAGACTTGAAAAACGAGCTCTTAAATGTGTCTTTGTTGGGTATGGATCAACTAAAAAAGGTTATCGTGCTTATCATCCATCATCTAAAAATTTTTATATTTCAATGGATGTAACTTTTCATGAAGATAACTTTTTCTATGTTGATTCTCCACTTCAAGGGGGGAATGAAAGTGAAGTGCAGCACCATGATGTTAGCATGTTTGACTTATTTTGTGAAGATAAATTATCTTGTGAGGATCATTTTGCAGGTAATGAATCAATCTCATATATGGACACATCACCTTTAGATAATACAATTTCCCCTGACGATAATCAACTAGCTCAATCTTCTCCACAAGATCAAGTTAACTCTCCAGAGGTATTTCCTAATTCTATTCCCGATAATACAATTATCAATGGAGTTGATACTAATGTTCATTCTGAAGTAGGTACTAACGTTCATTCTGAAGTTGATTCCTTTTCTCATGAAATTGATCATGAAATTGACCCTAATTTCCATGAGACCACCAACACACCTAACACTGAATCTATTATTGTCCAATATAATCTTCCACCTCGTTCTAACCGTGGTCAACCTCCCATTAGATATGAACCAGACCTTCAGTCCAAAGTTAAATATCCCATTAGTAATTATGTGTCATCTCGCAAGTTATCAAAGTCATATGCATCATTTGTATCTCAATTATCCTCAATTTCTATTCCTAGTAATGTGCAGGAAGCTTTAGCAGATCCTAGATGGACTGAAGTAATGGTTGTGGAAATGGCAGCTTTAGAAAAAAACAACACTTGGGATCTTGTGACGTTACCAAAAGGGAAGAAAACTGTGGGGTGCAGATGGGTTTATACAATTAAACACAAAGCTGGTGGAACTATTGAGAGGTATAAAGCACGACTAGTGGCTAAAGGTTATACTCAATCTTACGATGTAGATTATCAAGAGACATTTGCGCCGGTAGCCAAGCTCAACACTATGAGAAAACTTTTGTCACTAGCAGCAAACCAAGATTGACCTCTTCTACAATTTGATGTGAAAAATGCTTTCCTACATGGAGAAATTTTAGAAGAAATTTATATGGATCTACCACCAGATATGATAGATTCAAATGAGATGAAGGTTTGCAAGTTAAGAAAGGCTCTATATGGATTAAAACAATCCCCAAGAGCATGGTTTGGTAGGTTTACTAAGTCTATGAAGGCTTTTGGCTATAAAGCAAGTAACTCTGATCACACCTTATTTTTGAAGAAAGGAGGAGGTAAAATTACAGCTTTGATTATTTATGTAGATGATATGATTGTTACAGGGAATGACCAAGATGAGATGTCTAGTTTGCAAAAATACCTCGCTTCTGAATTTGAGATGAAGCAACTTGGAAACCTCAAATATTTCTTGGGTATTGAAGTAGCTAGATCTAAACATGGTATTTTTCTATGCCAGAGAAAGTATACTCTTGATTTACTATCTGAAACGGGACTGCTTGGGTGTAAACCTGTTGATACCCCAATTGAACAAAATCATATGCTATTTCAATGACAAAATTCAGCCAGCATAGACAAAGGAAAATACCAGAGGTTGGTGGAAAAACTAATTTACTTGTCTCATACACGGCCAGATATTACATATGCAGTAAATGTCGTTAGTCAATTTATGCATGATCCACGGAAAGCTCATATGGATGCTGTTGAAAGGATCTTGAGATATTTGAAGTCCACTCCTGGAAAAGGAATTTTATTCTCAAATCATGGAAACTTGAAGGTAGAAGGGTATACCGACGCTGATTGGGCAGGTTCAAGAAATGATAGAAGGTCTACCTCTGGTTACTTTACATTTGTAGGGGAAATCTTGTAACTTGGAGGAGTAAAAAACAACAGGTAGTAGCAAGGTCTAGTGCTGAAGTTGAGTTTAGAGGCATGGCACTAGGAGTTTGTGAACTTTTATGGATACGAAATGTTCTATCAGATTTGGGTTTTGAACCAAGGGAGACTATGACTTTGTATTGTGACAATACTTCAGCAATTGCCATTGCGCACAATCCTGTACAACATGATAGAACGGAGCATGTAGAAATCGATAGACATTTTATCAAAGAGAAACTTGAAGCTGGAATAATTTCTTTTCCTTTTGTAAGATCTGAATTTCAGTTAGCAGATGTTCTCACTAAAGGAGTGGTAAGTAAGGTGTTTAATGAGTCTTTGTTCAAGTTGGGAATGTGTGATATCCATGCACCAACTTGAGTGGGGGTGTTAAGATAAGTCAAAGATATTTTAGCTAAATTAAGTAGGAAAATATTTGTGCTGTCAATAATTTATTTCATTTCCTTAATAGAAGAGGAATTATAGAGACTCTTTTGTGTATATATAGTACCTTGATCAATGAATAAAATCATCAGAATTATTACTTTGAAATGTTCTATACAAACATATCAATTCACAATAAGTCATACAAACATATCAATTCACAATAAGTCGATAGCAAAAGCTACTCCAAATAAGAGGAAGAGAAAAAAATAACGGCAATCAAATAGCATATAACTTCAAAACAGATTCTGGTTGTCAACAAGCTGTACCAAAATCCAAAATTTGGTGTTAGATGACAATAAACATGTATGTTTTCTGTTACACATAACAATTTAGCATGTATATTCCCAATAGACAGCAAATAGATGAACAACTTTTGGAAATAGCATTACATTTTAGCTTATTCATCATCCAGTAGTTAGATCAGTATGTCTGTCTGGTAACAACTTCAGTTTCAAAACAAATAATATTTACCTACGACATTGAAGAGGAAGAACAGTATTGGAGAAATTGAAGCTGTTCGTTTTTGCAACAAAAGCTCTTGTTGCCACCAATTGCGAGTAATTCCTGCCATTATTCAAAATTTCACACACACTTCAAAATTTCACACACACACACACATGAATAAAGAGTGAATACCGATTAGAGTACCTAATGAGAGAGAAAGGAACCGTCGCTGCCATGGTTCCGACGAGATTGATTAATTTTCTCGGTAAAACTAAAATCATAGTATGTATAACCCCTTTCGAGTAGCTTTGTAAAAGATGAATCTTAGCCGTTGAAAAGGGTGGGCCATGCTGTGATTGATAGCCTATCACATTTATTCACGTTATTAATGTGTATTTGTCTATAAATAAAACCACACACAAAATATTTGTGCAAAGAAGAAAAATAAATGGCAAATTTTGTTCTGCAGGTTCCAATTCCTCTGAGGAGGTTCAGTGTATCTGCTTCATCCAACTCCAACGGTGCATCACTCATCCTCTTTCTTTCTGTCAATTTTATTTTTTTCTAATTTTTTTATTTAAAATTTAAAATTAATCATTTTATAATTTAGGGGCTGTTTCTGGTGGTCCAGTGATAATTGAGCTTCCTTTAGATAAGATAAGAAGACCTCTAATGAGGACTAGATCAAATGATCAAATCAAGGTTCAAGAGCTAATGGATAGTATTTCTCAAATTGGTCTTCAAGTGCCTGTAAACCACTTACTCTCTTATGCAAAATTACTTTGGAATTTATATCTTGCTCACCTGCTAATTCAAGTTCCTTTTAAGTGATGCAGATCGATGTGCTCGAGGTTGACGGAAACTATTATGGTATGTGCTGTGTTTTGAATTGTGTATAGCATTTTGTCATATATGATTTCCAACATCCATTGTTGCATTGGAATCACAATGGATATGTTATGTTACTTTGGTGGTTGTATAGGTTTCTCCGGCTGTCACCGATATGAGGCTCACCAACGACTTGGACTCCCCACCATACGATGTAAAATACGGCGTGGTACAAAAGAGACTCTAAGGCATCATATGCGCTAAAATATGTGATTGTTTTATATCATTTACATTTGGTACATGCCAATTAAAATTAGTGATTCTATTCCAAGTAATGACAGGAGTCTTTGTTGGTTCTCAAGGTATAATAGTGATTTCGGTTTGATCATATTATAGACGATAAATCGGGTGTGAATGTATTCTAGCCAACTTTCTTTCCATACACCCAAAAGAGGTAGAACGGAAAGAGAAAATAAAAGTCACTAACTAGTAGTATGTATCTCTAAGCTTTAATTAAGTTTCAATGGTCTCCTTAGTTTCACTTATTTGAATTTATTTAACATTTTCTATAAAGCTTATCCAGGCTAAAACATAAATACTAATATAATAAACACTTGTACAAAAAAAATGTAAACGTTGTCTTCAAGGGAAAGAAATAAAAACGTTATATTTAATCAACTTCATGCATCCAATACGTCAAATGCCAACAGTTTTCTTCAAGGGAAAGAAATAAAAATGTTTTAACGTGATGATTTTTAGGTTCCGTCGGGTCAAGTAACGTCCGATGCTTAAAATAATCGTTATTTAAAGACTAGTTTAAGAAATCATGTTTTGAGGACAGTCCCTTAAAACATGTAGCAATCCTAATGACAGAATGATATGGATACCTACAAGAAATACACTCACTCACCAGTAACTATGAAAGACCTATAAATCCTACTTGTGAGGTAAGTACTTCTGTGAATGTTTAGTAGTAAATAAGTTCTTGAATGAATGATGCTCCAAAACTGCAAAGTATAATAAAAATTATTTGAGGTAACATTTTTGCTTTGAAAAACAGACACAATATCTATGACTGATGATGTAGCTCCAATAAAGCAAACAAGTCACAGCCAAAAACTCAGATCAAAGAAAACATCCATTAGTTAACAGGAGGAACAATAGAAAAACTGCCCTTAACTTTGTTTATCGATAACATCCAACAAAGTTTCTTTAATAGACTAAAGGACCGTCTTCCAGAAATTAGGGAGGGTACAGGATTCAATTTGAAACTTAGATTGATTCTAAATCATAAAAAACTATCCTGTAACTAGTTTTCTCAAAAACACATAATTTAATTTAACCCAGGTGGCTAATAGCAGATGTTTAATATGCTTTCCTTGCTTCTTTTTTCATAGAACCAATGTCCTTCCTCCACTTCTTGACCCACCATTCAGTAATTACTCGATTATTCCTACACACAGTTTTAACACACATAGCCTGAGCTGTACCTTTATCACCGTGTCCTGATTTAGCATAACCGCATACTGCTGGCATCAATGTATCTGCCGCTTCAGTTATTTCACTGCTTAGAACACTTTGTACAGCCAAACCATATAGCTTATAAAATTCAGAATAAGCAGGAGGACAATCTCTTACTAATCCAACACCCTGCATAACTAACTCAATCTGCTTTTTATATATACTATTAACTTCCTGACCCGCTGGAAACTTCACCCAATCCCTCTGACTTGAATCAACAATCATGATCCTCTGCACCGGCGGAGGCAACACATCAAGTCTCAAAGCCAAATGTGGTGCCAACATATCAGTTCTCTTCCCAAGCACCAGTGCAAGCCAGTATGTCTGTGCTAGTCCAAATGGAAGAGCAGCAATCCTACAAAGCTCCTCTTTCTGCTTAAGAATCTCATTCTGCATTGTCTTTGTTGTAATAGTATGAAGGGTATTGAGCCAGGAAGTACAAACACGGTTCATATTATCGTCATTAGTGCACAAAGTTCTATCCTTGTTGAGATGCAACAGCCCAAACAATGCAAGAACATTCAAACAAATCACACTAATCAACTTTCCAGAATGCTTCTCCCAAGTCATACAAGCCTCCACATCCTCTTTCTTTGGAGAAGAAATAGTCCAGCTATACTGTATATCCATTTTTGAAGTTGGATGGGGCATAATACCACAACCTATCCCATAAGCTCTAGTCCAGGCAGCTAAAGTCGAACCCGAGCAAGGAAAAAGATTCAGTGCCACGAGTTGTTGCATAGAATATTCATTTATCTTCAAATCCAAGCGATCACTAGTAACATCATTAACAGTCTTCCAAGCAGCATCAGTGACAGACATATTGTCTAGATTCAAAATTCCCATATCACGTACATCAAAGTTCATCTGAGCTTTCTCACTAACAAACTTGTAAACGTTATCAACAACATTCTTCGGATCAGCCACCACACCAGCAAGACCTACACCCCAGTCAGCAAAGAGTGATGTCCCAGGTGTAGAGTCAAGTGTTGCGATTTCAGCTAGCAGCGTGGCAGCGGGAGTGTTTTGCTGCATGAGCTCTTTCATACGATCATATGACATTCGTGTCATTTGCCAATATTTGGAAATCAGTTCAGAATGGAGATTGCAACGACCCATGGCAGGTGTGACAGGATTAATTCCTAAGCCAGAGGGAATGATGAGCCACTGATGAGACTTGAGGTACTCAACTCTACCGTTTAGAACCTTCAGTTCGGCCGCAGCACTAATAGTAATCTGATTTAAAGCTTCCTCCATAGTGTCCCAGTCATATTCCTCATCGGACAATTCATCAGCCACAACAACTCCGACTTGAGCAGCCTTGTCAGTAGCTAGTATTCGGTCAATTAGATTGACAGATTCATTCTTAACATTGGACATTATATCTGTTAAGGAGGATGTTATATGAGACTGAATGACAAGAAGAGGAAGACTGTTTGATATTGAATGAGTGAAACAAGAGAATGGCTAGATTTTAAAGACATGAAGAACAATACATAGGGTCAGTCGAAGATTGTGAGAACCCCGAAACAAGAGAAAGGAATTGAATGGAGAAGAATGATTACGAGTAGAGTTCCAAGAACAAAAACAGCGCACGAGCAGTTGAAGAGTAATGGTCGTCCTTGATACAATTCACCTGTTTACTTTCTCTCCCTCCCAAATTATACTACTGTCTTTTTTTATTTATTTCACACTATTTAAATAGTATAATTAATTTTATGTCTAAAAATAAAATTCTAGTTAATTTTATAAAATTGTTTTTATTAATCACAGATTTTATGGCCGCTCACAAGGCCCATGCTAAAGCCTCATAGGTGAAGCAAAGGAAGCAAATGTAGAAGATATTTCTTTATTCACGCCTAAAACAGATAATTATGTTCTTTGAAGCATTACCTATCGTCCAAATCAGTCAGATGGTTGCATGTGTTGCACGCTACATTCCTTGCTTTCGGTTTAAACCACTTCCACTATATAAGAGAGAAATCATGTTATTCTTAAATATTCAAAAATTTTTTCACTCTCACATCACTTGTCATTCTCTCATTGATTTGAACGTTGAAGTGTTAATCTTACCGATCATCCCCTCTCTCCACAACACTGAAAGCTCGAGTCCACTTTAGCAAAGCACTGCTTCACTCTTTACCAAACAACTTTGGTTCCACAATGAAATAGTGACATCATATGTAGAAATTAAAATTTGATTCTCGCGTATTTCCATATTTGTAACTCTTTGATCCAGAGATCCATATCTCCTTTCCTAGAAGGTTTAGATTCCCATTTCTTGAACTTCCTCCTTAAAGTTTCAACTTCCTTCTCCAGTATATCTCCATCATGAGATTCATCAACCATGGTGGCGTCCAAAATAACTCGATCCACCATTTAACGGCCAATCGCTTTTGAAGTTTTTAGATCTCTGCCTCATCTTCCTTCTTAAGCAGAGGATGATTTGGTCCTAATGTGATGTAGGAGGGCTGTCTGCGCGTTTTGAAGTAAAAGTTGCGTGTTCGAACGGTTCGGCAGGATTTACGCAAACAACATTTTACTATTTTCTAGATATGTGCCTCGTCTTCCTCTTTGCAGTGACATATGAATTTTTAAGCCATTTAAGTTCGTTTCAAACCTGAAAACAGCATTTTACTATTTTCTACAATTTTAAAAATTTCTATTTTATTTGTTTTATTTATTTAATTTTTTTTTATATTAAAGGCCCATTAGGGTTATTTTTTTTATCTACCATATAAGAACTTAGATGGCTCTGGAAAATACATTACTACCCTTGCTTGTCCCATATTCAACCACGTCTACATTTTCTATTGCTTTAATTCAAACTTTCTACAATTTGTTACCTTTCTCTCCCTCTCATTGTATATCACGGTTGTACCCCAAAGTTTGCCCTCCCTTTTCTTCAAGACATTCTCTTAGGGTTTACCCCTTCATAATTGGTTTTGAATGATTGCAAATATATGTGAAATAATAAATAAATGTTATCTATATGTGTGCATTATAAAAATATAGTATAACATGTTTAAAATGAGTTAAAAATGTATTTTACACATAAAGCATTATTATGAGTCGACACAACCGATTTTGCATCGACACATACTTAAGCAAAGAATCATAAAAATGATCCAGCTTCAGTATGAGTTGACACATCCATGTTATGCATCAACTCATAACATGTTGATACCCCTGGAATGCTATCTTCAACTATTATACATCGATATGAAATCTCATGCATCGACACATAACATATTGATGCCCCTGTAATACAAACTTAAACTTGTATGCATCGATACAAAACTTCATGCATCGACACATGACATTTTGATGTTCCTGGAAAACACTTTTGAACTTGTATGCATCAATATATAACATCATGCATCGACTCATAACACGTTTTATGTTCAAAAATTAAAAGTTCAATCAGTATGTATCGACACATATGTGTTATGCATCGACTCATGTAAAATAGTTGGTTATGTAATATGTTATGATATCTGCTTGCATCGACTCATAACAACATGTATCGACCATCCTACATTTCATAACTAACATGAGTCGACTCATGACTAACATGCATCGACTCATAATATATTTTTCTGTCTCTAACCGTTTTCTGTTACATATATAAGCAAGTGTTTTTAGCAGCGAATTGCATGTCACATATTAGAATTATGAGCATCAATTGTGAGCAGCAAGAAGCCTGAAAGATACTTCATCTTCATCATCTTCTCAATCATCTTCGTTCAACAACAACAACAAAAATCAAACATCGTTGTTGAATTGGATCAAGAGATCAAAGATAACGTCTAGCTATGCATTCAAGGGATCTCAGCCGGGTTGAAGATTGTGAAGGGGGCTTCAAGGAAAAACCAAGGGGTTTATCCTTCAAGAACAGGTGTGTTCTTGAGGGTTTGCTAGTCACGGTCGCACAGGTCAGATTCAGCCGTAGCGAGGGATTTGGAAATCAGAGGGAGTTTTGCAAACAGGTCGTGGAAGCGGAAGATCGATTGTGGATCTTGCAGGGAATCTTGATACATCTCATATCAAGTGGAGATTCTTACAAGAAGAAGAATATCATAGAGATTTCTTCCTGTCTGTGTAGTGTAACCTTGTATTCAAACATTCAGCAAATTATTATAAGAGTTCTCAGTTTCAATTCTGAAATTGAGAGGGAGACGTACCCACACACGAGGACGACAATGGGGAACTTCCTTACCAAACTGCCTGTGTATTGTTCTTTATTTCTCTCTACCTCTTTACATTTTCCATAATTTTGTGATTCAATTGGCTTGCTGAGTTTTCTGTTTAATGATAAAATAGTGGTTCAAAGACTTTCATCAAATCACCATTATTAAATCATCAAACAAGCATATGTCAAGTGTTTGACAAAATTCCTAACAAGTTTTAACTCATTGGAAACACTGCTTTAGTGATAAGTGCATTAAAAATGTTAAGTAATTTGTGTCGTACATTCATCCATTTCATCTAATAAAATCCAGCAAGTTTTTCACATGTCCGGTTTTCTAGTAGTCGGTTCAAAATAGACGGAAGTTGATTTAGGATATTAATTTTCCGCTGCTTTCAACAAGCTTTGATAAAAGATTTTAAATACTTGAATAATTAGGAGGTGATCTATTGACCCCCCCTCTCGATCACTTTCCACACCGTCTAACAAGTGGTATCAGAGCGCCAATTAGTTGGTGCTTTGTGTCTACTAGTAACGTTATGGCCTTTGAACCAAAGGGGCGTATAATAGAGCTCCTATTTTCAATGGTGATAACTATGACTACTGGAAAGACTGCATGCGAGTACATATAAATTCCATTGACAGGAATGTATGGACTGCCATTCAGAATGGTCCCTTTCAAATTACCATTAGGACTGATGCAGGTGCAATAGTACCTAAATCTGAGGATCAATGGAATGAAATAGATGAAAAGAAATGGTTGTGCGATTGGAGAGGTAGAAACATGATAATCTCAGCACTTGGTGTTGATGAGTATTATAGGGTGTCTCATTGCACGTCCGCTAAAGAAATGTGGGATGCTTTATAAATTGCTCATGAGGGCACTACTAAAGTTAAACAGTCCCGCATCAACACTCTCAATCAAGATTTCAAGCTCTTTCGCATGAAATAAGGATAATTTGTCTCTGACATGCAAAAGAGATGCGTTCATCTTGTGAGCCGTTTAAATGCACTTGGAAAACCTGTTTCCAATGAAATTGCTACTAATAAAATTTTGAGATGTCTTAGTAGGGAATGGAAACCTAAAGTAACAGCTATCAAGGAAGCCAATGACCTCACTACGCTTACCATTACAACTCTGTTTGGCAAGCTGGAAGAACATCAACAAGAATTGCAAAGTCTTAAAAAATATGAAAACAAGAGTAAGAAGGAGAATAATAAATACAGGGAGGCTGAGAAGAAGTCAATAACTCTAATGGCTTATAGCTCTAAGTCCTCAAACAAAGAGCAAGATGATAATGACTCAACTAGTGATGAAAATTCTGATGATGAAGAAATGAGACTTTTTGTTCGGAGATACAATAGGTTTATTCGAAAGAATGAAACCAAGCACTCCGATAAGAATCTCATAAGCTTTTGAAAACAATCCAAAGAGCCAAGGAAAGAAGAAAATAAAAAGAAAAGAAGTAAAGGACCTTGCTACAATTGTGGTAAAGTTGGACACTACAAACTGGAATGTCCAAAGATGAAAAGGGACAAAGGAAAAGCTCCACCAAAGAAGTTCAACAAACCAATAAGAGCTTACATTGTGTGGGAAAGCGATAGTGATTCATCAAATGATGACAGTTCAAGTGATAGTGATGAGAATGCAAATTTATGTCTCATGGCCCACACCAAAAATCAGTCCTACCACAAGAAATACAACCATGATAAGAAAGTAAGACAAGAATATCCTAACAACTTTTCTTCTATGTCTTTTTCTGAACTAAAAATAGCTTTTGAAAAACTGCAATACAAAGCTGAAGATGCTTTTACGAGATTATCCTCCGATAAACAAATATTTTCATTTTTGGAGAGTAAAGTCAATAAAGCTGAAAAAGACTTAAAATGTCTAAAAGCTAGTATTGCATAAAGTTCAAAGGATAAAGATGTTAGAGGGTGTATTCCTAGAAGGGAATGTGAAGTTTGTCATATTTGGCAACAAGAGGTTAGAACTCTTAATGCCAAATTGGAAAAGCTTTACAGCCCAAGGTTACTTTTGCCGCCGATCCTAGAGTTTTTAAGAAAATTTTGAATCCACCATATCCAAAATATTATTTTGTTGAAAAGATACCAAAGGATTCAATGAGCATAAGTAAGAAAATACATCATCATCATGGTTTGTGTCATTATTATTGTCGTTTTGGTCATA